CCAAATGATGTGTTAGTCAATAAGAATTATTAAGTTTGAAGTATAGGAAGGGTAAAAGTCAATTACAGAAATCCAAATTATAGTTGAAGGATTATTATATTTATTATTATTCCCTTGAGCTCCGAGTGGAACATAGAAATTCAGTATCATCTCTCCAATTCGACGTGTTCTCTGCAGTCCTCTTTAGTTGGCACCACGATTCCCCATAAGCTCTAATCTCCTTCACACACGATCTTCTCCATGTCATGCTTGGACGCTCAACTCGTCATTTCCCATTCGGGTTCCACTGTGACATCACTCAATGGTCTCCTCAGCATTTATACAGTTAATTTGTATAAGTTAGCGACAGAATATTGTATGTATATTAATTTTATACAACATTTCTGTTGATCATCTTGAACAGAGTAAGAGTAAAACAATTAAACAGCTGTTTTGTCCTGGTTTGGGACTCTTCACCAGTGTGCATCCATGACCCACTAAGCATAGAAACCAAGACCTTTAGCCATTCCTCATTTTATTGTTCTCACTTTGTTCAAAAATGTATATATTTTAGTATTTATTAAATAAATCGTAAATTACATTTTAGTGATGTAACAGTTTATATTTTTAATCAGTCATATTTTTTGTACACAAAAGAACGTACATCAAAAGCTAGGGAATTCCCAATTAATTTTTATAAATGAATAAAGTATCAGCGAAATAAGGAACAATGAAAATCAGTTTCTTGGGTAGTTTATATCGTATAATCTATTGATGGGTGATTGCGAATCCAACTATACCTTTATGTCTGTGTCACAGCATCGACTTAATGGAGAAGTATTTCACATGCACTGATAAAAGCAGCTGATGATTCAGAATTGATCCATCATGTTTATTTAAATTATTTGTACGCTGCATTTCATCAGATAAGATACTGAGTGAACTGTAGAAGAGTAGATAAAGTACCTACCAACATTATGGGTATCTAAAATTGCTAATTACTAACTGAGACGTTAGCAAGTAACTTAGTTTCATTATAACATGAACTTACTTAAAACTGCACAAGTAGTAAAGATAGATAACTTTTTTTGGGCTGGACTTATCCGGCATGTTGATTGAAATTTCGCTCGGCAAATTTTTTTGTCAATAATTTTTAATAAAATTCTGTTATATGTTTTCTGGATTGATAGGAATTCTCATTTCCTGGCTAGTTATGTTGGTGTCCGCGTCATTTAATCTAACTGCGACACACTTAGCATATTGGTTGTAATGATTAGTGTTTCATGCTGAATGCGTCAAAACATCTCTACAATGAAGAAGATAGGGTAGTTGGGGCGTAATGTCATCTACACAAATAGTTTACTTCTTGTAGAAGCTGCAGCTTTCGACATAGTGTCATTCAATGAAGACTACGTCAAAATGTGGCTATTTTCGTGTGAAGAACAGTACTATTTTACAAAAGAATGCTATCAGTACATGGGAATCACCTATAAATACCAACAGAACGTAAAACCAGTGTGTAAACGAACGGCTACGGAACTGCAATCCAACATAACCGACTAACATGGACGAAAATGACCTTTGAGCGTCTCTCTCCATCAATGACCTTGAGCATGCGGGATAATTTCAGCCCTTTTTTTGTGGATGAATAAACTGTGACGAATAATCACAGTGATGTGATTCCACACTGATATTTAAACCGTCTCTATTGTTTTCATTTATGTGAATTAGTTTCCGTATGTCTAGCATGCATGATTTAATGTATAAGTAATAGGATTATAGGCGTTTATTTATATGATGGCGACAACGTGAGAAAATATTGTTTGTATATTGGTAAGAATTCATGAGATTAATCGTGATATTGTAAACAATTATTTGTATTCAAGATATGCCATGACGTAGCTAAACTATTCAGATATTGTATGTGATAAATTATAAGCATGCATTATTGCACATTATCATCTGTATGTCATCAGATGAAAACAGTCGTAGAGACCTTAAACACATTAGTATAAATCTGGGACTTCAGGTTGTTTAACCAGCTAATTTCATAAAGTATGAAAACGAAATGTCGACTAATTTATCCGTGAGAAAATTCCTATGAACTGCCCTATAAAATATCATAGGTTTAAATTTATAATATAAACAATAATCTTAAATAAACATTACGGTTACCAAAGCGAAAAAATGTGTTTTTAATTCAATTTTGTTTTTCTCGTTGACTGATTGAACCGAAATGTTCGGCCTCTGTTGACACGTTAGCTCCTTGTGCGGATGCATTGATGATTTCTGAGGATTAACTTGAAGTAATTTGGTGAATGCTGACTTGAATTCAGGATGTTCATTTCTACTTATTTGGGACTCGTCATCTGGATATACTTAAGATCCTCATGGGCCGTAGTGGTCTAGTGGATAAAGCTTTGAAACGATGGGAACATCATCACTCATTGAGAAACGCAGGTACATCCAGTGATGAGTCCCAAATAGAAAGAAATGCACATCCTGTATTTCACTGCTAGTCACTATCCACCAAATTACTTCTAGATAAAATGTAGTCTTTAAAATAGTGTTATGTAAGAGGTTTTTATCATGTAGGGTATCCGTATGGTTTTGTAAGCTGTCTCAGAGTACTTTTCACTACCGACTAGTACTTCACAAAGAACAACTAAATATACAAATGTACTAAGCATAGGTTGTGTCTCATTTTAACGCTTTTCTTAGTTTTACTTTTATAATTAAGTGAAGAATTGAAAGCATTACCGCCTGGTGCTAATATGAGTACTTCATCGTTCAGTGCATACTCACAACAGCTGAAACACTAAATGCAGTCACATACAACCACACCGTAACAAAGAACAAAGTGACAGTCCTAAAATCTAATTTTTGCAGGGCAGAAGAAGAGGTTAATAACAGAAGACATATTGAATCAAACGAGATTGTGTTCAATGAGAATAGTTTATCACCTGTTCCTGGAAAACTCTGATAGTTGAGTGATAGACAAATGTCTTTTTATGATTACCAGATCCTATGTAGGTAATTTAGGTGAATTCCGTCCACCTTTTTATAACTGCATTCAAAAGAAATCTTTTCTGTTTAGACACATTGGTGTGGATTTCTAAATTTAAATGGTCTTTGGTGATGACTACACATATATAATAATTAGGAAAGCCTACTGTTACTTTCCTAAGAATTGTTTAACTTGATTAAGAAAAACAGTAGTAAGTTCTATCAAGAGTTCCATATTGGCTCAATTAGTGGATCTAAGGACTAGACTGATAAGAATTCAGTCCCTGTTATTCCATACAAAATGTCATCTTGATCCTATGGGGTTTCACGCCTCCGACTGATAAGAAATTTCCATCAAAGCTTTTCAAGTCATTTTAAACCTTTAGGAAATTTTTTCCCATTCCCTTCCTTCTTACAGCTTTCGTCTCTAATCGAGGGAAAAACAGTATGATTGTACCACTCGCCCAGACCAGATAACTATAGTTATTATCTGTAAGCTGTTACTGCACATTTTAGTCTTACTTCCAGAATTTATTATACATCCAGATGCTTTACTATCCAACCGCTAAGCGATAGGGGTTCTTCTTTTTTCCTTTGTACAAGTATACACACAATCTACTCACAAATCTGTAATGACGGACTGTTCATAAATATATGTATGTAAGCACTTGAAAGATAACATTATAATCGTCTTGATTGTTGCCTACATATTAATATGCTTGAACTTTAATTCCATTCATCACAATGGTATCGAATGTCTATCTTGAATAATTCAAATACATAATTGCAAAACCTGAGGAGAAGTTACCGAAATTATCTATTTGCTTTAAAAGGGTTCTCTAAATATTATATGGGGAATATTTAATTTACTTTCTGTCTTTACTTTGATATTACGATGAGGCTGAATAATGTAAACATGAATTTAATAAACAGTTTTTTGTAAACTCTTTGTGCTTTGTTTGAATTCCTTACAAACATAAATTGTTTTATTTATGTCTTATTAAAGGATTACATATGTAAATGTCAGATATTTCTTTGTTTGTTAACAATTCTTTCTCTTTATCCCTTGACAAAAATACTTGTCATTTATAACCATCATATATGTCACTCAACTGACATCATCTATTCAAGATACATCCTGGATTCTGATGCATGTAAAAGTCAGTGAACCTTGATTTCGAAGGTGAACTACTAGCTATTTCTTTAGTTTACAAATGAAACAATAAAGTAGGTTTATAGCTCCGCTGGTTGAATTTTGTGTTTCCTGAGCTAGATCGTTTAACTGTGAATCTTTTACTGTCATTCTAAACATCAAATCTAAATCAAAATACCCACTACAGTTCTACAGGAGGTTGGTCGCGAGCCTGAATAGCTCAGTGATAAAGTCTCTGACTGCAGCACTGGGTGACGAGGGTTCGAATCTCAGAGGGGTGGGACATGAGTTTCTTCAAGGTTGCACATACGCCTTGCTGACTGGTGAGTGTCAACTAGTACGAAACCTAGGTCCAAGGCTTCCTGCTGATTGCCTCCAACTATCTAAAGTTAGCATGAATAATACAGCTGGGAATGGCTTTTGACTTTCTTTTCATAATTTGATTTTCAAACATCAGTTAATATAGAAATTCACTTGTGTTCATTATGGTCTTTAAAATTTATTATAATATTTGAAGAAAAGGTGTATTAGTTTCATCCACAGTGAAGGATAAAACTAAAACACTGGTGTTAGTCAATAGCTGGGTATATTCAGACTAGATTATTACGTTAGATTAACCATAATGACAAGCTGGAGAATATTCTGTTCGTCTTACAATTCTATGTAAAAATCTGTTACTTTAACATAGTCATATTCGAAGCATCTCATTCTATCTAAATAAAAAACAGAAGTTTGATTTTTTTTATTGTGAACGTAGATATATATATACATCCATTATTTTAAGTCTTTTAAGATATTGTATTTGACTGGTCGTTCATGTCAATAATAGTTACATAATCATTATTCTCATTCATTCTTATAGGAAACTTGGTAATGTTGCTCCATTACTTGATATTGAAGATATAATGCGTATGAAAGTACCTGATTGGAAGTGTGTCTTCACGCAAATTCAATTGTACTATAGACGATTTCATTTAGAAGAAGGTAAAAATGCAACTGTTCCTCCAACTGGTATCCTTCCAAAAGCTGCACCACCATCAGCTAAAACACCATCCGAAAATTCAGAAAATGAATAATCTGACTGTATAAAACTTATACATTCAACAAGATAAAATTATTTGCGATCAAAAGAAAAAGAAAGGTATCCTACCTAAAACTGTTAACCAGTGCTCCTATTGAAAATGAAAAGCTTTTATTTTTAAAATTATTTTCACTAGTTGTTTTTTTTGTCTTTGCTTTATTCCATCAAGCATTATCTATCCTCAATACATATTGTATCAGCTTTTTCATTTGCACAAATATATACAAATGATCTTTGTTTCTTTTTTCTTAATTTAATAATTACTGCATTTTACCAATGTCTTCTGCTATATTACCATGTTGTATAATAAGCATCAATATTATCGTCAATATTATCCATGTCTGGTGAGACAATTTATTGCCCTACAATACACTTTTACTGTTAGTCTGACAGTGTGTTGATTTCTCGCAAACTGTTTATATCTCATATGTAATAGATTTAGAGAATTAGATATGTTTAACTTCAATTGGAATATTACTTTAATTATCCCCTTTTAGTCAAAGTATCCTAGATAATAAGTTTAAATTTAGTTTGTACAACTTTTTGCTATCATTATCTCTCTTTTTATCTATCTATCTACCCATCTATCCAACAGATTTTTGAGTTGGCTAACTCTGTGCGCATAAACGCTGAGAACTTTACCAATACATATGTCATCATGACTTTACGATACATACAACCAATGTATTATTTCTTCTTCTCTATTATTTCAGTACAGAAATTTGATTTCATAGTTTTAATTTACCTCTATTTTTATGTTTCATCAATAACAAAATGTGTATTTCATAAGAAAATGCATAAGATATTTCCTTTTCTGTGTTGTCTTTTCATTGTATGAATGATAATGAAGTCAAATCACATATCCAGAGGAAATCAAAACGCAATTCTAAATAAAATATGCCGTTCTCATAGCGATCGGCTACAACAGTTCAGGATGGTTACTAATTTGAGGTATTCTGAGATTTAAATAAAGATAAATAAAAATAATCACTTATTTAGGGGATGGAGCTTTTGAAGAATGATGAAAATAATCTGAAGCTTATTAATGAAGCGATTATTTTAAGTGGTAGGTGATAACTGAATTCAGAATGGAAAACTGGGTCAAATCAGTATGATCCAGTATATTTTGATTCGAAAATACCTTAAAGTTAAATGGGTAACTAGGATGTAAAGTATGACAGTTATCACGACAGACTGAAGTAATAAACAGTTAAATATCCTCCGGAAGGATAGTGATAGGTTTATGCTTAGTTGGAAAGGCCGATTTTGAAGAAATGTTGTTGGAATTCAGAAGAGAAGTGAATAACTAAATATTGTAAAGAAGAACAAAGCATTCTCAAGACAGGCTGATATTATTTAAAAATAGTGTACAGAATGAAAATTTTATCCTTTTGTTAGCTTAAATTGTATCTAGTCTCGGTAAACATTTCTTCTGTCTTCAGCCCTCAACTTTCTGTTTGAGTAAATGATTCTATAAATTTCGAACTGATAGACAAGTTAGCACAGTAACAGTGATTAATATAAGGTCCATAGAATCTCAACTACACTTCATTAAGAAAATATTTAACAGGCATCAAAAAAAACTTGGCTTTTCCTCACAGGAAAATATCGGGAAACTGATACCTGTATTCAGAGGACGCAAAGTCAGTAAACATCTGAAATTGTTAGTCTTTACCTTGATGATATTAAATATTCAACGTTAATACTCCCCATATCTAACAAATGTTGTGCATAAAGATGCTTAGCGAAGCACATACTATGAAATTTTGTTGTATTTCATTAATTTGTTTGTTTGCATATTCCTACTGATATCCTACTTAAATCATCTCTATTTCCCGACAGTAAACTTCATGTATATTATTGCAAGACCAGTCTCTTCCTCTGTAACAGTGTTAAACTTTTCAATCTCAGTAAAATGAAATAACAACTCAACTGACTAGAAGCTACTTTGCTGTTATCATTTTGTACTCTCAGAATGCTTTTTATGTGCAGTTTGATAAGTGCTTATCTCACTAACGGGACTTTAAAAAACCTAACTTTATCCCAAGTGGGCTGAAAGCAGCTTCTCTTCGTCATCTTTTTCAGGTAACCCAAAAGCCTGATTTCTTAAAATTTACATGACTTCGGTAGCACATGAGATGGGTGATATAGAACGCAATTTTAGTGAAATCGTCATTTTTGTCGTCAGGTTTTCAGAAGGATATCATTTCTATAAGTAGCATTTTGATTTGCCCAGAGTGTGGCCCCCTGACTGTTTTGGCAGCAGACTTTGATATATATATATATATAAGATTTTGTTCAGCAAAGAAATATTTCTTTTCAACAAATTCATTTTGAAGCTGTTCAGTTGTAATTATATTACAGAAAAAGGCATTTAGTGGCACTAGTAATTGCTCAGTCAATATATATATGAAAAGAATAAAGATAATTAAAATGATGTATTAAGGCGGTAGAGCTGACGTGGATGAATTATAAAACTTTTGAAGATTATTACTAAAGTGAATTGGTATAAAGCTGTTAAGACTGTAGGTAGTGTTGTCAAAAAAATTAGCAGTGTGACGATGATAACAGTAAAGACGACGAAGATGAAGCTAATTGGAATGAATTCAAGAGGTAAAATAAAAATAAAATGAAAGAACATAACTATGACCGAGGTAAACAAAAGGGTTTGATATATTCGCTGATGTTTCGGGAAACTTTGCACCTATGCAAAATTCTGCATACATTTGCACTTGCTGGTATTCAGACTAAATTAGTAAGCTACACAGATGTATAAGGAATGCTGACAACCTAATATTAGCATGTCCACTGACATAGGTAGTTTAACCGCGAAACTTTTATTGTCTTCTTAGATCACATCTTTGGTGCTAACTTTAAAACGAAGTTAAAAGGACAATGAAAACTTCGCCAAGGGAAATTATCCTAGATCTGCAGTGCACTTTCTATGACACTGAAATAAACTTAAGGCTAAAGTAAATACATAAAACTAGATCAACTTGATATTAACTAAATAAGCATCTAGCCACCAGAGGATGCTTTAGGTGTTTCAAGTTTCATTTTAACGGGTAAGCATCTGACCACGCTGCGATGCTGTTTCGCGGTCCCTCCTTGGGCTGTTAGTACGCACAGACTCTGATTCCATCGTTCAGTCACACAAGCCAGATAAGTCCTTAAATCTCTCCTCATAATAACTTTAACAGTTTATTCCATTTAAATAAACCTCTCATCAAAGCACATCCCTAAGTAACTACGTCTTTCTGATTTGCGTTTTGTTATTAGTCAGGCACAGTACTGATTGACCAAGTTATTAGCCATACTGTAGTGAGAGATGGTTGCTAGCCAAATTGGTTGACAGTAATTGAGGTCAATGTTAGTCATGTGAAAACAAGGTCAAGATGGACAGGCGGATACAGTTAACATATAGATGAACTGACACAGCCACAAGAGATGCAAGGTTAACTTTGTGTGAGAAACAACCAATCAACAGACTGTATTTTCTACTAACATTAACCTACAATAATGTACATCAGAATCTATAAATATGTGTTGATTTTCCGTAATAAACGTTCTGTTGCCTGGCCCTTGTCTTCTGTTGTTACAATACTATGTTTATTAAGGCTGGTATATTGTAGATAATTAAATGTACAACCAGCATCTTACAATTCATGCGCTGGAGTATCATTATTTCCCATATTTTTAGCTAATATTTTCCACACTTTAATATTTCTACTCTCACAAAGCAGGATTTTGCTATTTGTTGGATTATGTTATTTTATACTCTTGATATATTATTACGTATTGTATAGGTTAATCCCTTCCCTACCTGCCCTTTGTTATTCTTTCTTTTGTATTCACGTTTGTGTTAATTGCCACTAGTAAATATTATAGGTTTTTATCTGTTACTCCGTAACCATGACTGATATTTACCAGTGAAGTTTAACTCAGTATACTGATGCTATATTGGATGCACAGTAATTATTTTCTCTTAGTTGAGTGTTATATGTGGTGTATGCTTTATTTATACACTTTTTTCCTTTGAAAATTATTTATTCGAATCCAATTACTTTTTGTCTGATATCGCGCGCTTTTTAATTTTACGTGGATTATCAGTTAATTGAGGTATTATCACCATAGATTAAAACTAGAAGGTAATAAAAGGGCCAGTTACTCAGCTAACAACATAGTTTTTCATAAATATGTGTAAATAAAAACGTATATACAAAAATTAAATATACCTGAGAAACCCCTTTTTGAAATGAACTAACAGAAAATGTCTACAAGGGTACCGACAAGTCTGAAAAGTTCTACATGTGCATGTGCATGCACGCATGTCAACCTCTGTTCTCCGTGCATTGTCTCTGAAGAAGACGTAGTTGGCAGCTTCAACTTCTGCGAAAGCCCACCGTCGCTTTTTATATTCAAGGATCACTTCCGGCGAGGCGTATGGAGTCAGTCGTCGTTGAATCGGAAGGAGAAGTTGTAAGCAGTCATAAGTGAAACATCTTGACTTAGCTATCATGGCATCCTGGTGTATTCTTGAAGAACTTTGCTTACACCAATTATACACCTTCAACATACTTTGTGCAGACTGTCTGCTCTTTGTAGGTAACGCTTCATTTGTTTGTGCCACCTCTATTATTCGTAGCATTACCCAAAGTCAGCACATGGCTACTGAAAGCTGCTGCCCAAAAAAGACGCTGACTCATCCAACGCCGTTGTATAAACTGACTAACACTAACATCCAGTCTGCTTATAATTCTGAAATAGAAATTAAATCTAACAAAAATAGGAATATTGAAGGTATTACTCTTCCCTCCTTTGACTTCGAACTAGGCTACATAAGTAGTTTTTCATAATCGGATTCCTCGTCTACATTTGAACTTTTTACCACGTATACAAAGAACAAACTTTCCTACAGAATGCACGGTAGACATGGAAAGAACCCAGCACAATATGTTCTCGTCTGTGCGTTAACTTGGCTGCAGCAATTTCTGACTGTACACAGTCCATGATGAAAGTCTCCGTTTCTAAAGTGTCTCCCATTATTTGACGGAACCCGCCAGTAATCCTAACTATATCATGTTTAAATTCCTTTCTACTTCAAGCAAATAGGACTGGTCGCCAACGACCAAAGTTATCCGTAACAACTAATCGGAACAAAGAATACCTGCATGTTTATTACTGAATGGGTAAAATTACTTCCCTTTATTTAGTAATAATAATATATTGTCATTTTTTGTACATGAAGGACGCCAGTTAACCGGCATCATCGATATGATAATAATGTATACATGCAGTAATCATGTTTACAATTTTTCACAAACACAAGATATATATACAAAGAAAGGTAATGGAGTAGTGACAGCAAGCGCTGTTAAGTTAAGACAATTTATATGATATAATCCTAGGCACCATTACTGTTTGAATTTGTCGAAAATGAGCGTAACAACTAAGTTTTGCGTTACATGTGGTCGATGTGGTGGGCTGTTCACAAAAGTATAAAAAAGGCTTGCAAAACGTTAGTTTACTGTCAACATTATTTTCAGGGCAAGAGTAAACAACAGACACCAAAGACAAATGACCTTGATTTGACTATTCAGATACCTCAGCATTACAAATGCTGGGTAGTCATAATCATCGTTGAAAATATCTCCTAAATTTGGTTTTTGACTTCACTGTGGAAAATGTGTTGATACAGCAGAATAAAACTTGCACATATTGAGGGATAATTACTCTGATTAAATATTACCGGGCTATCGATGGTTATAAATTCAGCTGCAACTACTTTATTCGAGGAAGTCTGCATAATTTGGTA